AGAAAGAACAAGAGAGTTGTGGGTCATTATGCAAGTGATAACTGTGGGTCTTTAGGCGTTCTGTCTCAGCAAGCCATAGAAATAATACGGCAGAAACAAGAGAGATCTGTTTCTTCCACAGCACAGAACTATTGCATTGATTTGCACGTTTTACATAAACAAACCAATGCAAAGCATTGCAGGACCTACATAACATGCAAGGAAAAATCCAAAGCATGATGTATGGCATGGAATTCAGAACATGGACGAACCTACATTTCCCTCACCCATCTAATGCATTGATTTATTTAATGTATCCAGTGAATTTTACTCTTGCATAAAGCAAGAGAGACTATATATTTCATCAAATTCCACTAGGATCAATCAGTACAAGGTTAGTCACTAGGTTCTAACATACCAGAGACACTCAGATTTACTTGGAAAGTGATTTTTGGCCCAAAATTGTGTTACAATTTTCTGCATTTCCACAGCTTATAAACAAATTACATTTCTAAATGTTATTGAGCAACTCAACATTTTGCCAGTTTCTTGCACAGTAAACAGTCAAATCTTGGAACAGACTGCCTAATGACTGGGTCTCGACAGAACTGACCTCATTTGTAATTTGTCCGCTGCAGCTGATTTGAGATAAAAGCAGAGAGAAACATTTGAAGCAGAAATAGATGGGGGCTTTTCTCTCTTTCTTTCATGCATTAGAATTAAACATCTTTGCTTTGAGAAACAAGCAGTGTTCAGAATTTTAGTAAAAGCAATCCTCCTGAAACCAAAGCACTACAAACATGCTTATTTGTTCTGCTTACATTTAGGTACTCTGCTCTGTTGCAACCCTACTCCTTTTTCATGTTTTCAAGAGTCCTGCTCTTCACCTACAGCTAACTTACTTGCTTAGAACTTTACCTGTACGCTGCTTGGTTTAGTAAAATAGCTTGTAATTCACAGGATGTTATTTTTAGAGCAAATTAAATGATGTGTCACTTCCTATTACAATTGTCTGTTTTAAATATGACAAAGTTAAGAGTATTTATCTGGACTTGCAAATCTATGATAGCTTGTCGCTGGACTAATTTTTAAACTTTTCTGGGCCTGGCTAGCTATCAGCTCTTGATGGTTTTAACAAGTTTCTTCACGCTGTGCTGTCACCACAAATTCTTCCTTTCATTCTTTGCTCAAAATGGCAACCACAAAAGCACAAAGAATTAAGGGTTTAACTTGACCACCTGTTGCTCTGAGTATATAAAGAGCACACCTACAATTACCCACCTACAATCCTCCTCCTTTGACTCACCCCTGTAAATTCCCCTGTCCAGCTCGCTTCTGGCTGTATACTGAAGTAACTTGTTTCCTCTTCCCCAAGCTCAAGTGAACTCATATTTACTAGCTGTTCTCAGTACAACAGATTCACATATTTAAGTTGCCTGAAAGTGAGATGATTGACAACTAAAAAAAAGTAGGCACATTTTTATTAGTATGACAGCCTGTCTGTGACCATAACTTCCATATCACTGTATCACAATATTGGTAAAACAACATTCCAGTATTCTACAAGGTGTATATGTAACTGAAAGAGGTATACTCTGAAGTATTTCACTGTTGCATGTAGAGATATTTTATCTTTTTTTCCCCCCATAAAGACTATCGTTTAACCAATAAAGATAAATGTGAAAGTACACAGGGACTGTAAGATATCATTTTCACAAAAGTTACTATCAGTCTCTGGGGTTGCATAGAATCAATGAAAAATTCTATTTTATACTGGACTTTGAATAATCTGCTTATCATTTAATCTTGTGTAGGCAGCTACTCCCTTCCACAGTAATCCACACAGAAGTATCTGGATGAATAACATTAATACATATACTGCATGTTTCCCTCTCTTAAAAAGTACTTCCCCTTTTTTCTTAGCACAGAGCTAATATAGCTATGTCGAAAGCTTTGGTCTGTGTGCTGTAAACCAGCAGATGCAAATGCAGTTAACTTCCTGCTGTCAACAAAACCCGGCACGTCTAACCATGCCCCCAAACTTCCTCAAGCACTGATATGCCAAGCTACTTTTACGACCACTGATCTACGATACTCTTGCCAATCTTTTTTTCAAGCACTGTTCATTTTTTACAGGACAGTAAATAAATTAGGCTCATTGCATCAGGATAGGGCAGCACTGCAGAAGCTGGCTAGGAGAGATTTCCCATCTTTACATTCTCCCAGTAAAGGAAACAAGCCCCATGTACAATGAGAAACCACCATCTCTGCTGCCATGGAAATTGAAGAAATAGCAAACCATAGGCCTGCCCAGACCCACAAGACTATGAAAAGGACAGTGAGATACAGGGGCTAGTTTTGAAACCATGCAAAGACAAACACAATGCTGCAAAAGTCATCTGTCATACCAGGTTAGGAAAGCGGATTTTGGAGGCCTGTCCTGAAGCTTTATGTCAAACTATTTCAAGTGTTTCAAGTGGAGAGTGAAAATGTAGCTAAACATTGCCGTAAGCTGCAAAGCCAGAACCACAATTTGTGGAGAAGACTATTCAATTCCACTTTGTACACCAAAGTTTTACTATTTTTAATATTTTTCATCTACATATTTGTCCTTCTGCTAAATTTATGAGTAGCATTGTTTCTATGTTTGATCTTACTAAAAAATAACATATTTTACATCTTGATTTCTCCTAAAAATGATTAAAGTTCCATTACAAGTTTTAAAACATGAAATCATGATTCTTGCACCTAACTTTCATGTTATTTCATTAAAATTATCATTAAGTATTCAAAACAGTCTCTCCCTTTTAAATGAAATAGATATAAAAATTATAAGCCATAAAGATGAGCAATTTTATAGTAAAATATAGGCATTTAATTTAAAAATAGTTCCCATCCAATACCTCTGGAAGTTTTCATGAAACTACATGGAGTGTTATCAATCCTGTTAACTGTGCAAGTACTCACAGTAATAATAAGAAAAGTCATTATCAGTTAGAAAACAAGAACCACTGACTAAGTGACCTTTTTGAAAAAAGGGGTGAGCCTTACTGGCTGTGCACGACATTCTGGAATTTTTTGCATCTTTGCCTATTTCTTTCAGATATACTTACTGCTGCAACAAAAGCATGTCTCGAGCTAAAGAAGTTGCGCAGATGCAGAGAGATCAATGTACAAGACAGTGCTTGGGAATATGCTATTCATATTCTTACCTCACCACGCTACAGAAGCGCCAAAGAATACATGATGAAAAACCTCTTTAGGAAGAAAGTACAAAGCAATTAAGCTCTCCTTGAACCTGAAAGTCTGGCAGAATAGGGGGATCTAAGCATGAGATTCCTGTCCTGGCTCAGGACAGGTATGTAAAGAACGGCTTAATGTAGTTCAGAAGACAAGACTTGCACTGCTTACTACAATGGCTAATCATGGCTAAGTTGATGCCGTGCCTAACTTTTCCCATTATAAGCTTGTACTATATTCAGGTAGGCTCTGCGTCTTAGAAAAATACCTTTCTGACAGAATGCCAAGGACTGTGGGAAGAATACTACAGATATGAAGGCAAATGTCAATACTTTCAGTAATTGAACAACTGTAAGTAGCTTCATCTAGCCTAAGAAAGTTTTCAGCACTTACCTGCCGCATGTAGACTTAACTTTGAGAGTCATTTTTCACTGTTTTCAGCGATATGTGTAATACTTTCTCAGAAATCTAAACATGTTCAAACAATTGCATAGTCTTCTCACAGTTGACCCTCACCTATTTCCCTGACAGTTCATATGCAGTTGAAATTAGCCCACCTCGTTTTGTCTGAAAATAATTCTTTCAACGTATATAATACCTTATCAAATCAAAATGTCTCGTTCTACACTGACATTGGTCGGTGCAAACAGCGTCGTCTACACCTAAGTTTTTGTTAATTAACTGCAGCTGCAAATCTAGGAAAGCTTAAAATATCCTCTTTCACTACGTAACAAATACTATCTTGCTTGTTGGAAAAGCTATAGATGGATGTATTTAAACATAACTAAAACCCAGAAAGAATGTTCCCCAGATCATTCATAACACTGTACTGGTCCTCTAAAAATCTTGAAATTATCCTCTTAAAAATAGTTGTAATCAGATAAGAAAGTCCGTATTTTCCTAGTAGTTGGTTCTTTTCAGCCCCTCCTGAGCAAATAACTCTAACAAACACTTATTTCAACCACATTATTTAAGTTCAGTGACTACTGGGACTTCACCCTTTCTACTATGCTCCATTTCCATGATGAAGTGCAAAAAAAGAGAACAATTTCAATTCAAAAATGCAACTTGACTCCATCTCCTGAGAAAACAACAGTATCATGACTCAGTTCAGAGTATTTTTTAGCCCCTTACCTATTCTCATTCTGCCCCCGATTAAACCCACAGAAGCACAATAATATTTTGCCACCTATATAAACAGAGCATCTGCAACTGTATAATTGTCCTGCCCCTCCCTCCCCCCGAAAAAGGTAAGAACAAATACAATCTACATTCTGGAAAAACTTTGTCACATATTTGTTCCTTACATTTCACCAGTTCAGAACGCAAAGAAAAAAGGAATGCACGCTGACAAAAAAGTTACATTATATAATGTATTAGATAGGGTTGCGAGTGTAGTCAGAAAAGCAGGTAATACGCTTAATAGTTAGTTTTGCGTATTCTGGTTTTATATAAGTGATGAAATTCAGGTAACTATATAGCAGCAGGACATTATCACAATCATTTTATTTATTTCTTATTGGCACAGTTAGCATTTCCTGGAATATAGTTATATCAGCAGCTTATGCTATTCAGATATGCACACCCTCTAGTTTACCATACTGTCAAAAAAATCAAATATTAAACAACCAAATCAAATCACGCATGCATATTTACTTCTAAGACTCACTCCTTCTTTGCTCAAATGTTGTTAAATAACTAACCTAATTACAGTATATTTATGATTTACAGTCATGAAAACTATAGAATAGTCTATAGGATTAACTTTTTAAAGTATTTACCTGTGCGTAAGCCGTCGGTGACTAATGCAAACAGCAGTTTGTTGATCCTGTGCAACACAGACCTTATGGCGACTACATTTCATCTTTAAACATGGATCTTTAGCCGGATCTAAAGCTAAAAATAATTTCAGAAAATTGTTAACAAATTATCTAGAAACATACAATAAAAAATAAAATACCCACCACACATACAAGACACACCAATTACATAGGGGAGAGTTGGCCTGCTACTTGTACAGCATGCCAGACTGCACAGCTTTGATTTTCGTCAGGATAAAATGCAGCACGTTCAACAACGTACCACATGAAGCCGTGTAAAATTCCTTACCAAGGAAAACAGATTTCATGACACACTAAAATAAATCTGTAAACTTTCATACAATACCACTGTTATTTATTTTTAAAAAATCCTAAGTACCCTACCCAACTGTTTTCTGGTCAGCATTTGTAACAATGGCAATCAAAGGCTGGCGGTTTTCACTGTAGCTGAAAACACTCTTCTGATACTAGAACTTGCAGACTTGTAGGAAGTCTGTACGCCCACCATATCATTCAGAGCATCAACTTGCCAGAGAAAACACTTTTAGAATTGGCTTCTGTTGCCTACAGTTCTCCATCTCAGTGATGTCACTTCTAAACAGAATTAGGTTTATAATAAGTTTTATAGCTCAGAAGCCTCAACATGTCTGAAATCACAATAAAACTGTTTGCCAAAAAGTAACGAAAAAGAATTCACAAAGGTAAATGACATCTGATCAGGAGTTTGGAGCATTTGTTCATTCAGATGTCAACTGCCACATCTTCTAGATATAAGATCTTTCTAAAGGGTGTGAGCCAGGATGCTAATAAAAAAAGCACACTCCTCCTCAAACCATTTCTCATCATTCCAACTAGAAGAAAAGCCATGTACTAAGCAATAACGAACAGCAATGGTTCACAATATCAATGGCGATACGTTGGTCCACAAGCAAATTAACAGAGAGAAGAGGAGAAGCATCCATTGGTTAGGTTCTGCTGCTGTTTAATCAATAAAGTACTCATCACATTCTTTTAACAGTTGCCACTTACTATAATCCCCCAATACAGGTATTTTTACCTCAAAAACAGTTTCTCTTGCCTGCTTAGTAAGATACAGCTGGGTTCTTCCAATTCAGTGTTCTTAAATGATCAACAGTAACACTGTCTGAATTTTTTCAGAATTTATAACTCAGGTGAGATTTTAGTTAAAGAAAAAGTACCCTGCCATAGGCACGTAAGTGATGTGCACGACTCCACCCAGCCAGGCTGCTGGCACTGACCAACTCTTGGGTCTTGAATCAGCATTAAAACAAAACAATTAAAACAAAATCCTGCTAGAACGAGAAGAAAGGAAAGATAATAAAGGACGGAAGGAAATCAGAAAGTTTCTACAGCCAGTAAGTAACAGAAATGAGCTGTATGAAATAAGAAAGAGGAGCAAAGCCAAGCCAGTAACAAAAAAGATAAAGTGTAAAAAGAAGACAAAGCCAGGGAAGAAGAACAAATAAGACTTTGGTATTGAAGTTCTCAAGGCCTGTCATTCCTTAGATACAAATTCTGTCTATAACACTCTAGGTTTGTTTTTTGTAGCTGGTCCTTTGGTCCTTATTCCACACTCAGCATGAATTACAAATACTAGTTTCTGGCTACAATATCAGAAAAATTAAGTATTTTGCTACTCAACATTAAATTTGTTTAGCCTATTTATTGAGTGAGCACACCAACCTAACAATAGAGAAAGGTCTAAACTTTCTGTCAGTCTAGGCTCTCACAAGAAACAACTAACTTCTCCCTACTCTGACCTCCACATAGTCTTTCAAGTAGGCTAAACATTCCAAAACTAATGTTTGGTCACCGTGGACGTCCTTATCCTTTCACATGGAAGGCCTTTTCTTTTTTGAAATTTGCCTTTTTAAAAAAAACCTTAGAAATTATACACCAAAGTCTAGCTCAAAGAAACACTACTGAAAGTCCTGTATTACTGAGCAAATCGCAAAATCAATAACAAAGCTATGAACACCAAGAAGTGAGTTTTCCTCTGTCAGCTTCATTTTAGCATATTATTGTTCAGCCTTTAACTACATGTTCAGAAATGCTATTTCCCCCTCTTTCTTTTCATTTTCTTCTTCTTCTTTTTTTTTTTTTTTAAATAAAATGTGTATTTTTATACACGTTTCCTGAAAGGAAGCTTTTGTTTCTTCTGTTCTTCATGATCAAAAGTAAATCTTTAACCACAACTGTATGTGATTTCTCAGTTTGAACTGTCAGGTGTTGCTAATATAAGGCTGACCAAGCAAGCAGCCAGGAAACAAGAACCAAGTGATCATTAATTACAGTTTTGATAGCTGATTGTGTGGTGCTAAGTATGATTAAATACAGTTTGAAGCAGTGACTTTTTCAGTTTTTTTATTTCCTTCTTAACAATATATTCAGCTATGTATAATATATACATCACATTATCAACAAAACAGAATTAAGTCATGGAATCATATTGTAATAAGAACTCAGTGCAGACTGGAAAGAAAGATTTCTTTAGTTACATCATAAGACAGACAGAGATAGGTGCTGTCCTAGTTCAGGTGCTTTTTATTTCTACAGTAAACTAGCCATAAATCCACAGTGTGAGTCATTCAGCTATAGATAATAAGTCTGATTACACAAGCTCTAAACAAGTGGGAAGGAAATGCAGCAATAAATACCAAACCAGGATAACAGAATTAGAGTTGAAATTAAGGAGAGATATCTTCAATATCCTTAAGATATTTTAAGATATCTTCAATATCCTTTTCCTAGATACTTTAGATTTTGATGCCCAAGGCAAATATTTTCTCTGCCTTAAGACAGGCAGAACGCAATGTCAGTTCCTCACAAACAAGAAGAGACCATCATTTAATGTACTGGTCCAAGTAACTCTTCCCAGAATGCTCCCAGCTGAAGATAGTAAGGTAGCAACAGTTGAATACGACATTAACATAACTTCAAGTAGTTATTTTGCAAAACTGAATAGCTTAATGGAATAAAAATACACAAGCAGGAGTAATCGGGAATCATTTAAAGATGTTGAATGAAGTTCTAAGTAGGGAACATGAGTATTTCAGGAAAAGGGATGAACGGAAGAGGTAATGTAATTATTCCATTCCCTGACTAGAATCAACATGGGTATTTCCTGAGTTCTTGGGACTACAAAGATGTATTTTAATGACTCTCAAAATTTAGCAAGCCGTAATATGTCATTCTGGGACTGTTATAGGCAGAATTCAACTTTAGAATCCAGAGACAGTACTGAATATCCCTTTTTTTTTAATGGCAACATGAAGATGGGTAGTAAGCTTAGGAAGACTTCCTTTTTATTGATGAAATCAGAATGACTTTATTCCTAGAAAAGAACTTCAGGGGCCAGAGTTTGAGGATTCCAAGAAAAGTATATGCAAGAAACTGAAAGTATTTTAAAGGTTTAAAATTCAGTGCAAGTCCCAGAGATCCAATCAGAAGACCAAATTAGAAAATGGCCTTAACACATAAGCATAGATAGAAGGAAGTGCTAAATTTTGAGAGAACTATCAGAGGGAAATCTGTTGAGAAGCAAAAGAGACCATAAGAACTGCACTGGGTACTGATTTTCCATCAGGTTTCTTAACAGATATTTTCCACCTAACATAAACCAAGCTGTTTAGAATTCTGTATTAAAACCATATTTCTGAGGAGAACCCCATTCACAAATTGCACCTTTTAAACGCAAGTGGCAGGTGTTTGCCGGTGAGAATCTAATGTTAGAAATAACTTGTGCAGACAACAATCTGCAAACCAACCTTGTTCAGGCTCACCTGTGTTCTGTCCATTTTTTTCTCTAAGAACTTCCTTTACTAAAAAATAATAGCTTAGAAAAAGGAAAAAACGTACTCCTGAATGCAGATAACTGATAACGCAGTCTGTGTATAAGTGCATTCTTTGTGGTACTTACTATAAAATACAGGCGTCTGTTAGGATTGGCTGTTTCTTTTAGAGACGGGGTTAGCTTCATAAAGCAAAGTGAAATACAAGGAAAAAAAACTTGTGCATGTGCACATATGTATTTACAAGTGACATAAAACTCTGTCTTGTCAGCTTTGTCCAGCTTCAGAGAAGTGAAGAATGTTTAGGGATGTTAGATGCCTTCTTCACAAATTAGACCTTGAAGATTATATCTGTGAATTCATTTAATTCACACAGGCAGCCCTTTAGAGGTAAGAGCTGTTTGGAAAGTCTGAGTGAGAGCACTGCGCTGCTGGACATCTCCAACTGGAGTAGACCAGGCCCTCTTCTACTAGAAGTTTATATATACCAAACAGAATAGAAGAAAATAAACTCAATTCTGGAGTTTACCCAAACTCCACACTTACAGAATTTTAATCTGCTAGTGTTTGCTGACTGGATTATTATAGCTCTTGCACTGCAGGAGACTCTTGAGCAATTCAAGTGTGGCACTCATTCATAACACAGCAAGAACGGCTATCAGGCTGCGTTAGTCAAGGAGCTACTAGATAATCTGAAGGAGTAAACCAGCAAGGCCATGAGGGCTAAGTTAACAAGGCCACTTTTAGATTCAGAGGCATGTTAAACACTCATGGACATGCCACCGGCATTAACTAATGTTACCACTGAGTGAATTGCTGGACTATGACTTTTTTTGTCAGCTGCGAACCCCCTACAGAACTCCTTTTTTTTTTTCATCCCATGTGTGATATATGGCCTCATTTTTTCAAACACTTTTTGGTAAATTTTCTTACTTACTGAATCTGTTGTAGTGATATAGAAGCAACAGAAGCCCTTGGACATATTTTTCTGAAAAGCTGCAGTATTTTACAACAGAAAGAGAGACCATGTAAATCACTGGAAAAAAATATGGAATTCAGGAATACGGAAAGTCAAGTACTTGAAAACTCTCTATATATGTTTGCACTCACACTGTATTAGCAAGCCAGGGGATAATATACAGAAAAAAGTGCTGCCAGAAACTGCAGCTCTTGTGGCAGAAAATTTATCTGTGCATTTTTTCCGCAGGTATACAATGCACAAGCATGTTTGATTTGTTTGACAAAGCTATTACTGAAATCACTC